GAATAAAAACTAGAATCGATCATATGTGAAGCACAAATGAGGAAAGTTGATATGTCACTTTAACATCAGCACAACGTTACGAGACCGACGTAAATTATGCCGTACATGACAAGCATATCATGATTACCATGTCTGGATGTGTTATTTACCTGTGCCATCCATTCACGTCAAGTAATACCGAATTTGGTATATGTGAAGGTAGCGAAACAGCCGCGAGCGCATCATGGGCGTGGTATGTAGTCACGTTCGTATACATGACACGCATCTCACTAGAATATCATGTTCGTACCAGTCATATACCTTCGTCATCCATTGACGTCACGTAACACAAATTTGGTATTTGTGAATCGAGCGAACCGACCGCGAGTGCACTCGGAGTATGGCATGAATGTTTTACATGAGACGCATGCAATGATTATCATGTTTGGACGTGTCATTTACCTTCGTCTTTCATTCACGTCACGTACGTAACACCAAACTTGGTATTTGTGAATCAAGCGAACCGACCGCAAGTGCACTAGGAGTGTAGCATGTAGCCATGTTTTACATGACAAGAATTTGACGATTATCATGTTTGGACTAGTCATTTACCTTCATCGTCCATTCATGGCATAAAATACCAAATTGTATATATGTGGAGTTTCAAAACGGGCACGAGCACGCTATGGGCGTAGCATGTAGTCATGTTCTACATGACACGCAAATCATGATTGTCATGTTTCGATGTATCATTTACCTTCGTCGTCCATTGACGTCACGTAATACCAAATTTGGTATATGCTAAGCTAGCAAAACGGCCGCGAGTGCATAATCAGCGTGTTATGTTGTCATGTTCTTACATGACACGCATCTCATCATTATTATGTTTGCACCAGTCATATACCTTCGTCATCTATTCACGCTCCGTAATACGAAATTCGGTATATGTGAAGCTCGCCGCGAGCGAATCATGAGTCTGGCATGTAGTCATGTTCTTACACGACATGCACGTCATATTTTCCACGTTAGAGTCTGTCACTTATGTTCGCCATGCAGTCATGTCATACCATACCAGTTTTGCAATATGTCATGTCAATGAAACCACCGCAGGAGCAGCAAGACCATGACATGTAAATGATGATATGATGACATAGAACTCATGATTTTCATGTTATGACTAGTCACTTATGCTAATCATACAGTCATGTTACGCCATACCAGTTTTGGTATAGATCTCATTATCCAAATGGCCTGGTGATCTAAAACTCGTAGGCGGCTAGATAGATAGACAGACAGATAGATAGATAGATAGATAGATAGATAGATAGATAGATAGATAGATAGATACGCTTAAAGTCACCGAAGTTTGCTAAGAAATGATGCGCATTAAAAAATTTGAGTTATTTTAGGGGCAAAGCTCCTTAAGGCGTGGCTCTGTACATCGTCTGAGGTATGTGGTTGTAGTAGTAGCAGGTAGCTTTTCCAGTTTAGTTTTTGCAGTGTTCACTAGATGGCCGTAGTTGATGCAAGATGTTATAAAACTAGATGGTGGTACTTGGAGTGTCTCTAGATGGCGGTACTTGTAATTGATGAATAGATGCGAGATGTTATAAAGCTAGATGGTGGGACCGGTAGTTGATAATGAAAGATGCGAGATGTTATGATAGGAATGATGTCACACATGGCGCGTGTGGAAGGCAATCGTTCCATTTAGCGCGCTGACGTACACTAGGGGGAGCGTTGTAATAAAATTCGTTCGCTGTTGGCGCGCCGTGAAACTGCGTGACACCGCTACCAAGATCCAGCCGTACGAGAGCGGGAGGTCCAAGCGGCACGGCATACACACACAGCGTTTCTCCCGTCTTTAAATGATAATCGACTCGGTGAATTACACGCAATATTCACGGTTTAGCGATGATCACCTCTGAAGCTTCGCCCACTCATCATCATTCACCCCGTGGATATGCTGTGATTTTTTTTTGCTCATTTCTTACTTTAATGCCATCTCAACTACAGGAAAGTATTTCCGCCTCGACGTAGAGTTCGTGTGCGTGTGACAGGAGCCTGGCTGTCGTAGGATTTTAGCAGCACAACCGTCCGTTGGCGTAACGCGGCATGTCTGGCACAACAGCAATGCCTGAAACGATGGTTGTGTTTCAGTGAAGCCGCGATAGTAATACCCGTTTCGGGCGAGCGGCCGGGCTCTATGGGCCACGGCTGCACTGAACGCCACCATAGCGTTCCAGAATGGCTTTCAATAAGCATGTAAAGTCTCCCCATAGGTTAACATAGAGTATCAAATAAAGAGCATTGATGTAACACAGAAAAAAAAAAAAAAAAAAAAACTTGGAAAAGACGTAAAAAAACTCCCAAGCATTTCCCTGAGGGTGAACATGGTTAAGTGCGAATGCACGGGGTGATGCTATGGGAGACGCTCCCTGGATTTCGTGGCGACCGGTTGTGCGCCCGCGCGCTCCGCGCGCTCGCGACCTTCGGCGTCATCGTAGCGCTGGCCGACTGGGCTCGTCCTACGTCATCTCCTGTCGCCGACGACCTTCGACGACAGCGCAGCTCTGATTTACTGGTCCTGCTCTACGCCATCTACAGACGCCGACACCATCTCTCGCAAGTGTACCCCGTCCTCGGACTCCAGTGACCGTTTTCCATCTTTCCTGTCTCTTCTATCCCCTCAGTTTGTTGTTGCTTCTTCTTCCTCTTTCCTATACTTTTACCTCTACCCTTTTATCCCTCCTTACCCCCATCCCTTTGTGAGCTCTGTGGCGGTGTCGCTCACTGAAGCAGACAATAACGGGGCTCACTTTTCTCTTCCTTTCTCTCAAGAACCACTCCGCAGTTTCCGATGCTATGAGGGGTATTTATTAATTCGTACTATTATATTTATTAATCACACTATGGTGCCTTTATGGTGTAATGGTTCCTGGGAATCGCAATTTGATCACACGGTGGAGTTTACGTTAACTCACTGTTACGCGCAGCTGCAGCGAGCAAGGAGAGCGGAGGAGCGAGCGAAGGGGGAGGGGGTATAAGGCGCGTTACTGACACCGATATCAGCGTCGCGTCCGTGGCTTATTCGGTAGAGCGTCGCGCTGCGGCCCGCCAAGTCCTCTTTCTTTTAAACATAGAGAGAAGACTGCGGACGCCGCCGACGGCGGTGGATGGTTTGGGGTCGCTTATAAAATGTATTCACACTTAAAATTGACATAGAATGCCGAAGTTGGGTATTTACACTTCGCTGTTTCGACGGCTTTAATGGAGTGGATATGGCTGCATTAGAAAAAAAAATATTTGTTATGTCTAAAAACAAAAGCAAAAATATAGTCCGTATATAACAACTCGTACACGACGTGTGTACCACTTCAGGTGCAGGCTATCTAAAAACTCAAATAGACCTTCTCCCCGAAGGAAACCCTGATGGGATGCGAAGCAGCAGCGGTTGACTCGGTTGAAACGGGCCTCGATGCGGGTGCTGGAAGAACGGTTTGAAGTGAAACTCGGTGTAGTGTTCACTCGACTAAACGTTTGTTTGAAATGCAAAGACACGGGAGGCTGGACGAGTTCAAGACGCTTACGCTCGGCTTCTTTGACTCGCGTGTCATCGCGGTGTTACCCGCGCGCCTCTGTATTCTCGAACGCGATCGGTGCTCTTGACTTGCACCTCATCGGTGTCGCATGATCTTCCACTACCGACGATTACGTTTGGCTTCCCTGGCTCGCACCTCGTCGGTGTTGACGTCGCCATTCCTGAACGCACGCTTCGATAACCCTCGCAGAGCCGGTGACAGCCGGGAAAAGTACGCGAATACTAGCGGGAAGTATGCCGCAACAGCGTCCCGCCCGTCGGCACGATAGCGCGGCAAGCAGCGGCGCGCTGTCCACGTGGTCGGCGCCGCGAAATTCTCAAATTCTCGAAGCACACGCAGCGCACTCGCCGCAGCGCACAGATGGAGACTGGTGGCACAGGTGAGATGATGGCCACGTGAGGAGTAGGCTTGAGCGTGGCGAGTGGTGGAGAGGATGAAGCGAGAGAGAGCTGTCAGAAGGCGAGCGCACGGCAGGTGAGGAAAGGAGACGTCACCGCGCGCTGCTAAGAGGGAGTCACCTACTTGGCACCGCTCCAACACTTTCGGCTACTTCTACATGAATGTTGATACTAGATGGAGGAAGTGAACTCGAAAATTGCCGAGCAAGTATTTAGACAACAGCAGAATACCAAGCCGAAAGGAAACATTGCTTAAGAAGAAGGTGAATGAAATAGAGAGGAACATGTGGAAGATTGGAATGCTTAAAAAATCATCCCTGGAGACCTACCGAACTTTCAAGCAACAAATTGCAAGAAAAGGTCTATGATAATTCTCGGGGTAGTTCTCTGCTGTTCGAGGCTAGAACGGGAGTATTGCGGACCAAGACGTACTGAGCCAAATACGAAGGCACATGCACATTATGTAGTGCGTGCGGAGAAGAGGAAGAAACGGCTGAACATTTGATAATGTTCTGTAATGTTCTATAGTCCAAAATAATGGCGCGTAATTTTTCAAAGCACTGGTGTTTAGAGACAGTAAGACAAAATAGACTTTGAACGGGTAGAAATAACCAGAAGGAGGCTAACTGATTGGCATCCATCCATCCATCCATCCATCCATCCATCCATCCATCCATCCATCCATCCATCCATCCATCCATCCATCCATCCATCCATCCATCCATCCATCCATCCATCCATCCATCCATCCATCCATCCATCCATCCATCCAATATTCTGAAAACAAGGGAATTTTGTCATCTCGTAGTGATTTTTTCTCTCTCTTTTTGCATTCCTGGCTGGGGTCGTTGCCACGGGCACTCGAGGAAACGCGCTCAACGTCATAATACACGCGTTGAGATTCTATATGCTTATGCAGCCGCGCCATGCGATCGATGACGGCTTAGCGGCAGCCACTGCAGCCTTAACAGCCTGAAACCTTGGAGCGACGCCCCTTATACGGCTTCCTGCGAGTCGTTATAAGGGCTCGCCTGTAGAGACGCCACAGAACGCATATACCTATCGAGGTCTAACAGGTGCTGGTATTTTCTGCGCTGACCCAGGCGTATGCGGTCAGGTGTCGCGCGCAGCAGTCTCTCATAGTTTTGGCTAATAGCTTACATTAGCCAGATTACGTGTGCCCATACTGTGACCAATTATCTAACAATTTTCTTGAGTAAGTCGTAGTTTTATGCTGTTGAGATTGGATTCATCATTTGCGTCTCAATCATTCGGATCACGCTGATTATTGGCTAGTAAAAGTGACAGGTCAGTGCGAGTTTTTTTTTCGCTTCATTTTCTTTTTGTCAAACAATGCTTTATTTCTTTAGTGAAAGTGAAGCAGAAATAGTGTGCAACGACAAATTTTTACCAAACTAGTAGGTATACAGTTCACGAAGGATAATTATAGTCGCCAATTGGTGCAGCCTCACGTTAATTTTTTTTCCCGCCACCATATTCGCTGTTTAGCACAAATGTTTGAGATAACGTATTGAAGGTCGTATCTCACATTTATGCACTAGGTTTCTGGATCGACCTTCACACTTTACTGCTTACTTAAATAATCGATAGATAACCACTGAAACGACAAAGCTATCCCATCTTCAACGATATTGTTGCTTTAGTTATGATAAGACACGCAGAAAAACACGCGTAATTATATCCTCTATGCCGAATATGTGCGCAGCATGGACCTTTTTCACACGCTCAAGTGGATTATGCTGGTGATGATGTCAACACTCTATTTTCTATGGATCTTGCAATTTCTGAGTCCTTCGTTTTACGAGCGCTACAAGAGATTCTACTAACAATCGTGAGTATACTTGATTATTCCTCTGCATGCTTTTGTCGTTACTACCATTTCGCTCCTCTAACGAAAACTTCCTTTACATAGAGAAAAACAATATTTCATGGCATTATATCGCCTATCTTTTTATCGCTTCACCTTCTGTTCTCTGTAACCTGATTAGATAAACAAGCTTGCTATAGCAGCCGGGCGTGGGGCACTTCAATTAGGTCATTGCACGGTGTATTCTCTTAATCAGCCGACGCATCTGCATTCATTTAGTGACTCGGCTAACTTAAGGTACGACGCCACTGCGTCCACTGGGACCACATTGATTGATTGATTTGCGGAGTTGAACGCCCCAAAACCACGATATGATTATGAGAGACGCCGTAGGGAAGGGCTCCGGAAATTTCGACCACCTGGGGTTCTTCAACGTGCACCCAAATCTGAGCACACGGGCCTACAACATTTCCGCCTCTATCGGAAATGCAGAATTTCCGGAGCCCTCCACTACGGCGTCTCTCATAATCAAATAGTGGTTTTGAGACGTTAAACCCCACAAATCAATCAATCACCAACCACCTTAGTCTCGCGCGACGAACCCGGTCTGCTTTCCCCTTCCGATCGGCTTCCATCTTCTGCATATTGAACGCACGACCTTGCTTTCTCTAGGGAGCCGCTATGTTCACTTAGCAGGACTTTATTAAAGAGGCCCCGGAAAGAACAAAGCTCGTAATTTGTCCCGTCGCCTCCGGGGAACGCCCGCCGGCGGCTTTCTCGCGCTTTTATCGCCGCGGCATTACGCGAGGTTCACCAAAAACACGCTATCTTATCGTGCGCCGCGAAGAAGAATTCCCCCTGCCGGCAAGGTAGTTCTCTACACAGCGCCGCGCGGTGCAGCGACTGCGTGGGCCGTGCGCGCGATCGCTGCGCCGGGACTTGGCAGGTCGGCGGTATCACGGCGGCGCAGCCAGCGGCGGACGCACGCCGATGCTCGGGTATGTCATTGTCTCCTCTGCCGTCGCTTGCAGCATTGTTCGTTCGTGGTCGGCCTTTGCACAGCAACTCCTCGTGGCTGCGTCGCGCGCGCGCATTTACGAGTGTATGTTGGCGGCGGCACGCTCATTCGACTCACCCCCTTGACGTTCGTCCGCGCCTCCTTCTACTCAGCTTGATATGGCGACGGGGCGATATTAGATTAAGACATTAGTACCGTCATTCTAACCAGAAAAAAAACTTGTATATTGAGTCGATTGAAAACTTTGACGTCGGAAGAGCGCAGCAGATGCTAATTGAAATGCGGGGGTTGGTTCTGTTTCATCGGGGGCCCAAACTGAACTCGCGACCGTGCTAGTACGGTTTCATGCAGGCTGCTTACATGTAGCCGCCACTGGATCCTCCACCACAGTTCGTGCTTCGCGCCGTTCGCGTTTGCGCTGTATACCAGCGCGCGCATATATCACCGCTGGCAGAAATGCTGAGTAAGGTTTGATCACACTAAGAGCTGCATATTTAACTTATCCATTTCGCCGGCCCAAGCTAATGGGTAAAAGAAGGTGTTTGCTTAGCGCTTACGCAGGTATTTACCAGTACGCAAAAGTTCTAGAAAAAAAAAAAAGGTGTCTCTGCAGTAGCTGATTGTACAATTGTTGTATCGTTTGCTATCGGCTTATTCAGGCGCTGAGCGCATGATTCTTTCAAATGCCGAAGTTCCGCTTTTTTTTTTGTTCCCCGCGTATCTCCCGACCAAAGCAAACAATCACGTATGTTATGTCGATCCATCAAACAATTTCTACGCAGAAATCACGTGAAACGGTTTGAAGTTGATACCATAGGTGCGCATTTGCATTTCGAGAGTTTGTACGGTCTAGATTTGACAGAAAGATTGATTGATATGTGGGGTTTAACGTCCCAAAACCACGATATGATTATGAGAGACGCCGTAGTGGAGGGCTCCGGAAATTTCGACCGCCTGTGGTTCTTTAACGTGCTCCCAAATCTGTGCACACGGGCCTACAACACTTCCGCCTGCATCGGAAATGCAGGCGCCGCAGCCGGGATTCAAACCCGCGACCTGCGGGTCAGCAGCCGAGTACCTTAGCCACTAGACCACCGCGGCGGGGCTTGACAGAAAGATTTGCGAGCTGAAAGGGAGTCGGGAGGACAGGCGCCACTCGTGAAAGTTGTTAGAGATGCCGCGTTATTAGATAGTGTTATATAACATGACAGGTGGTTGCAAAACGCAGTATCGGATATTTATGGCGCTAAAAAGTGCATGGCTCTCTCTCATATCATGTTTTGACCAGCCTGATTCTCGTCATCGTGTTCAGTGCAGAGGATGGTTATTTTTTAAGCACGTGGATGCGCAAAACAAGCGACACTTGACATTTTCTTCGTATTCGCCCTTCGTCTCACTGGTTTTCCGTATCTTACTTCAATACGAGATCGTCGTGTTTTTTTATTCATTAGTTTATCTGGTAAACTCCGGTTTTTGTAATCCTGTACATTTATTTTTTGTCATCCACACAATGCGGGGATGTATACAACAACTCAGCTGATCTGCTCGTTGGTCAGATGCTTGCGTGGTGCCATCGGTTATAGCTAGGAGTAATCCATGGAAGGGTGTTGTGCTGCTTGCTGATGGGAACAGTGCCAGAAATAAAACAAGTTAACATTTGCTTGAGAAACTGCAATGTGTAATTTAATAATTAATTAAATTAACTAAGGTCATAATTCAATAAGTTTAGACCTTTATTGTAATTTAGTAATTGTAGCTGAGTATATTGCCCAAGCGGTATACACCTGGAACGTGTTCTCAGGTTTTACAACCGTTTCTACGCAATAATTTCAGGACTTAGTAATACACTCTTTCTTGAATTGACTTGCAGCACGGGGTACAACACGGACGGCACTATATGAGGTTAAACTTTAAGTCAATTCAAATATGAATCGACCTAGATTTTTGTGCTTCCCTCCCCCAACAACGTTTTTTTCCAAAAAATAAAAAAATAAAATAAAAATGATTATATCATTTAAGGGCGGGTCCAAGGGCCCATTTTCCGAAACATGCGTCATTCGAGGAATTATTTCCAACTGCATATATTTTGCAGTCTCACTGACTTAAATTATGAAAATTCAGTGTGTGTCACAATTCAATTCATTAAAAACTTCATTAGGCAAATTCAGTAATCGGTCAATTTCGTACTTAAATAGCTCGTTGAAGTGATGTCCCGCTGATTGAGCAGAATCCAGCTCGAGGGTTTCAACTATGTTTTCTGTCCTAGGTAGCTAACCTAAACGCGTGTTTTTTTTTTTTCTCTTTTTACAACCAGGAAGTCAGCAGAGTAGTACAAAATGCATGTAGTACGAACACACTAGGACACTCGAGTCATCACTACTGATATGTAGGGTTTGTCAATCATATGATAACTGTCGAGCTACGTTCGTGCATTACCGCTTATTCAAATTTCTCTCCCGCCAAATCACAAATACCGGGGAACGTATTCGCACCGAGATCACCCAATAATCGAAGCGCACTTTTTTGTTTTCGCCAGATAGCTTGGGGAGAGACTGCCACAATCCCGTCGATGGCTGTCTCTTAATGCCGATCCTGTGTACGTGAAGGCCTTACGTATATATCACTGCGTCGAGTATCATGTTTCGCGCTATATATATATATATATATATATATATATATATATATATATATATATATATATATATATATATATATATATATATATATATATATATAACAATGTCGTGTGGGTTTTCGTACAGCGACTCGTCCACTTTGTAATGTTTTGAAGGCGTATACAGAAGAAAGTATATCTGTTTTTCCTAACCATTAACCATTAATGAACAAGTGAACCGTATTGAGCAGTTAGATTCTCGATAACCGCGGTGTCGCATGCATCTATACTACTTGGCCGAAGTTTTTTTTTTGTGTCTCACCTTTCCCCCATTGGTTCCCCCTTCACCTATGCATGGGAATGAACTGGATGCTCTTCTGGTTGACATCCCAGCCTTTTCTTGCTTCTGTCACCTTCTATCACTCTCTCGGAAAGTATGGGAAAATAGCATGAGCTGCAAGTGATGTTCTGTCTGCGAGCTTCCGTCCTTTCCCTCTTTTTTTCTTCTTCTTCTTTTTTCTTGCACATTCCAGCTTCGATGCGATTTCATTCGCGGCCCGTGCAGAGGTGGCGGCGGCGGCGGAGGAGCCAGGCTTCGGCGAGATCCCGGGCCGTGCGGGATATCGTTGCACAGGAAGGAAATCCGACTAGCCCGGCCGCCGTCTTCGAACGCAGGCAGCCACAATGGCCGACGCGCGTAACACGGTCAGCCTGCTCGAACAAGCCGCCAGCGACAAGGGTGAGTTTCCTCGGTGTGCATGCGTCAATCAGTTTTCTTCTTCGTTCTTCACAATTTGCGTGTACTATAAGCGATGTTGTTAAACAAAAAGTGCGAGATGTGAGTGATGACATTCGAATCGAACCGTCGTGCACGTGCACGGTGGAGAAATGATCGTGCGACGCGACGATGCCCGTTACACCCGCCTCCCACACGACGAAGTGTGAGCGTGTCTGTGTCCCAGTCTATTGTATAGCGCAGTCATATTGCGCAGCAAATTTGAGCCACGAGTTAACGGTGTTAGGTAAACGCCCTCACTCGCATGCGCGACACATTCAAAATGGTGATGGTGGTGTACGAACACCTCACCACGTGCGAGAAACTGGGATTTTCTTTTCTAAACAAATTTTCTCGTAGCGCTACGAAACTCTTACGTGCCAACAGTCAATATTTTTTTTACCCGAATAGTCTAGTTATAACCATTGAACGAGTTTGTAACATACACATAAACTTCGTAACTTCCAGCGGGAAGTTAGTCAGTCGTTCGCACTTTCTCATTCAGTCGTTTTCAGGGTGGCATCCTATTCCATTATGCCCTTGCTTGTGGTCTGTGAGGTACATCAAGTGCCCCGTAATTTTCCCGTGCGCCGCAGCACCCTCTAGTTTGGTATTCGATTTGAAGCGACTGTACAATCGCTGCTTATTTGAATCGGCTGCCTGGAAGTAACTGAGCTGTTGGTGTTAGGCTTCCGCTGATCGCGATCTCTGCATTTGTACGTACATGAAGATCGCTTGCAGCCTACGCAACGTCTATGCAACCTGATCTCCGGTTGTTATCCCCCCCTTCCCTCATCCACTCAAATTTCCCCTTAACTTTTATTTTTGGGTGCTGAGTATTGAGTTAACTTTTCCTGCTTTTATTCGATGAAAAAGAAGTCTCGCCGTACATGTAGATTAACCAAACTTGCTATAATAATAATAATAATAATAATAATAATAATAATAATAATAATAATAATAATAATAATAATAATAATAATAATAATAATAATAATAATAATAATAATAATAATAATAATAATAATAATAATAATAATAATAATAACGTAAATGATGATGACGATGTGAATGATAATAATAATAGCTGGCATTTAGCACTTTTTGTAAGGGCTGGATGTTTCAACTTGGTTGACAAATGTTGGGGCACGACACTTACCGCGACCATTCTCTCTTGATCTATATGTCATCCCTTGGTATACTTTAGATCCCGCAGGTATATACCACAAGATGACGACGTCGCCGAAGAACCCAAGGTCTCATTTCAGATGTTGATTTTGTGTAAGAGGCTAAGGAGCACATATCACATGTCTACCAAATGCAACGCTAAAACCAAGAGGAAAGAAATGATTTTGCTATTTGGGAACAATGTACTGTGGAAGCAGCACGTATATTGAATGTAGACAGTGGTAACCACCCCGCCGCGGTGGTCTAGTGGCTAAGGTACTCGGCTGCTGACCCGCAGGGCGCGGATTCGAATCCCGGCTGCGGCGGCTGCATTTCCGATGGAGGCGGAAATGTTGTAGGCCCGTGTGCTCAGATTTGGGTGCACGTTAAAGAACCCCAGGTGGTCTAAATTTCCGGAGCCCTCCGCTACGGCGTCTCTCATAATCATATAGTGGTTTTGGGACGTTAAACCCCACATATAAATCAATCAATCTGGGAGACAGACCAAAAGAAAATACGGTAAAAGAAGGCATAGTGGCGTGCACCCACGATTGCGCGCTCAAAGGCGGTCGTACAGTGCAATCCTCCTAAGAGGCGCCATTTGACCTTCTATAGTTTCACGCGGGAATCACGAATCAAGTTCAGAGTGACAATATATTCCGCTTGTCGTCCTGGCGACTTAAGCGGCAAGCTAACTGTATGTATGATCAGTCACATACAGTAACTGTAATAGCTGCTGATGGCGCAGCCTTGAGTGGCTCGGCTATTACTAAACTGAAGGTGCACACATTTTTCAACAGCTATGTGGTAAATGCTGTGGGAAGCAACTGCTCGTTTCGACGTTTGTTGTGGTTTTGTTGATCACGTCATGTGTGATATAAAAAATGCGTATTTCTAGAAGCATGCTTCATTGAGATATGAGGGTGCAGAAAAACAAACAAACTACCGTGGTAGGTATACTGCTATGCTGCTGAACTATATACTCACGTTTAACACGAGTGCGTGGGTTGGTTTCCCGACCGTGGGAGCCGCGATTCGACGATAGTGATATGCAATAATGCCTTGTAGTTAGATATAGGTACTTACTTGTTCAAGAAGCCCATCTAGTCAAGATAATGGTGCAATAGTGAAAAAACAATGAAAAAAAATGCATATCCCATGTATGATATGCGAGGCACGAATGAGGAAGGTTGATATGTAACTTTAAAATCAGCACAACGTTACTAGGAGGTCGTAAATTATGCCCTACGTGAGTTATATGTCATGACTATCATGTTTGCGTCCTAAATGCGTGTTCGTCGTCCATTCACATCATCATTGAAACTCTGACTACGTCCACGTACTGCATTACAAAGGCCTCTCCCATGTTCCGCCAGTTAACTCGGTCCTGTGCTTGCTGCTGCCAATTTATACCCGCAAACTTCTTGATCTCATCTGTCCACCTAGCCTTCTGTCTTCCCCTAACCCGCTTGCCTTCTCTGGGAATCCAGTTAGTTACCTTTAATGGCCAGCGGCTTTGCGTGCTACATGCCCGGTCCATGTCCATTTCTTCTTGATTTCAATCCACATCGCATAATACCAAATTTTGTATATGTGAAGCTAGTGAAACAGCCGCGAGCATGCTATAGGCGTAGCGTGTAGTCATGTTTTATCTGACGCGCATGTCATGATTATCATGTTTGGACGTGTAATTTACCTTCGTCGTCTATTCACGTCACGTGATACCAAATTTAGCATATGTGGAGCTAGCGAAACGGCTGCGAGCACTCTATGAGTGGAGCGTGTAGTCATGTTTTACATTATACGCATATCATGATTATCATGTTTGGACGTGTAATTTACCTTGGTCGTCCGTTCGCGTCACGGAATACCAAATTTGGTGTATGTGAAGCCAGCAAAACGGCCGCGAGTGCATCATGAGCGTGGTATGTTGTCATGTTCTTACATAACACGCTTGTCATGATTATCATGTTTGCATGTAGTCATATTCTTACGTGTTATGCATTTCATGATTATCATGTTTGCACCAGTCATATACTTTCGTCATGCATTTACGTCCCATATTACCAACTACGGTATATATGAAGCTAGGGAAACTGCACCACGAGCGTGGCGTGTAGTCATGACTTACATGACATGCATGTCATGATTTCCACATTAGAGTGGTCTGCCATTTATGTTCGCCACGCAGTCATGTCGTACCATACCAGTTTTTTCAAATATAATATGTCAACGAAACCACTGCAAAAGCAGCAAGACCATGAAATGTAAATCATTACATTCATGACACACATGTTACAATTTTCATGTTGTGACTAGTCCCTTTATGCTCGTCATACAGTTATGTTATGCCATACCAATTTTGGTATGAATACCATTATCGAAACGGCCAGGAGAACTAAAAGTCGTTGGGATAGATAGATAGATAGATAGATAGATAGATAGATAGATAGATAGATAGATAGATAGTAGATAGATAGATAGATAGATAGATAGATAGATAGATAGATAGATACGGTTGAAATGCCGAAGTTCGCTAAGAAATGGTTCGCGTCTAAAACGTCTAAAACAGTCGAGAATGCAAAAGAAAAGAAGAAACACAAGCATCTCTTCTTTTGTGTTCTCGTATATTGTTTTTTTTGTTTGCGCTACACCCTGACAAATGGCGCAGCTTGACGCGCTTCTGTACTCAAAGTCAATCCGGAGTTTGGAGTTTGCTGTTACGGCGTGACCCATAATCATAGTGCGATGGCTTGAACGTACAGCCGTCAGTCCGCCCAGCCGCGGTGGTCTAGTGGCTAAGGTACTCGGCTGCTTACCCGCGGGTCACGGGATCGAATCTCAGTGGCTGCTGCTGCATTTTCGATGGAGACGAAAATGCTGTTGGCCCGTGTGCTCAGATTTGGGCGAACGTTAAAGAACCCCAGGTGGTCGAAATTTTGGAAGCCCTCCACTACGATGTATCTCATAATCATATGCCGATTTTTGGGACGATAAACACCACACATCAATCAATCAATCAATCAATCAATCAATCAATCAATCAATCAATCAATCAATCAATCAATCAATCAATCAATCAATCAATCAATCAACAAACTGTCAGCACCTCTAACGCGAATGCTCCGATGCATGGCCTCAGCTCGCTTGAACAGAGGCCAGCACCGCCAAGCGTTGAAAATGGTATGTTTGATATTTTTCGGGAGGGATTCACACCAAACCGACGGGGACGGGTGACACAGGCATCAGCTTTCCTCTGTGACGTGATTATCGGTGGTAGTTTGAGGAGATTGTGTACATGTATATCGAAATCATGAAACTCCTCCCGCTCTCCCCATGTGTATGCTTGTGAGGTGAGTAAGCAAAAGTAAAGTAATCGCAGTAAAACACAGTGAACGACAGGTAACTTATTGATATGTGTGGTTTGACGTCTCAAAACCACTATATGATTAAGGGAGACGAAATAAAGTTTTTTTTATTCTATTACGTTAAGAAAGACGCCGTAGTGGAGGGCTCCGGAAATTTCGACCACCTGGGGTTCTTCCACGTGTACCCAAATCTGAGCACACGGGCCTACAGCATTTTCGCATCCAAGGAAAATGCAGCCGCAGCAGCCAGGGTTTGATCCCGCTACCTACAGGTTAGCAGCCGAGTACCTTAGCCGCTAGACCACAGCGGCGGGTGTAAACGACAGGTAGAGTGACCGTTAGGAGCAACGGCCTCTTGTCGCACCATTGAATGGGCTCGTGTTCGAAAACGCCTCATTGCGAGCCCTCCCGATAGGAGAAGACATTGTT